AGTTTGGAGAAGAAATCCCTGAAGAGCCCCTGGATTAGGTCAGCTGGCCCTGTTTTTAATATGAGCAAAATGTCTTGCTAATGGACCTCTATAGGTGAATTCATTGAGAAAGTCGCTGGTCACCACTGCATTGAGCTCAGTTTGAGTCAAGGAGAGCTAAAGCATGTGTTCAGAATGATAGAGGTGGTTATGTCAGCTAAAGAACCTGTCCTTAAAATCTCAATTCGTGTTTATATTGTACAGTCAATATTGAACATAAGTTGCATGGGTTTGTGTTAAATCTGACGCATTAAAAGAAATGAGAAACTTCAAAAAAAAAAAGAAAAAAAAAAGATGTCATACTCATAACAAAGACATCTTAAACAATGTCACATTTGCATTTAAGGTATGATTATTGTGCGAATGACACTTAATGACAGTTGTCATAAACCCTACTTCATGGTTAAGAAGGTGTCATGTCAGTGTTATGCACACCCCTTCAAGTAAAGTGTTATCTAACAAAATTTTAATAACGTGTTAAAACAGATTTATGAGCTTAAAGTGTGTGCAAGCTAAAATCCATCATCATCTCTTACCCTGATTCACTAAGCCCAGGCGGGATGGTTCCTCTGCAAATTGTTTATAGTCATTCGCCGAAGTTTCTCGGAATTCCGAAGTTCTGGGAAGAGATGGGGAGAACTGGGAGATTTTACATTTTGTAAAAGAGTTTTTATTACTCAACAGGGCCCTCATTTATGAAAGCGACGTATGCGCAGATTTATGAGCTTAAAGTGTGTGCAAGCTAAAATCCATGCCAAACATTTATATATAGAGAACATCAGGGTCTGAGCAGACGTAGGCCTAAACACACTTTTCCTTGTGGTGGACAGTTGGAGAACTGCAGGTATTTGAATCCAAGCAATTCTTGCCGGTGACCATTCTCAAGTTAAAGTTTTGGGTTGACTGTTGCTCTTTTATATGTTATTGATAATTAAGTGGAGCATACAAAGCAGAGACCGAACACCATTCAGCTTCAAGATCATTAGCCATTTCGCTATAAATTTCACTTCTGGAAGAGAGGCATATATGCACTTTTGTGTGTGCATAAGTCCATTTTCTAAATCACACGTAGTGTATCTATACTATATGCACAATTGAGAAATGATCGTAAGATCAAATGTAGGACCGTTTCTAAGCAACATTTTATACATGGGTCCCCATGCGAGAAAGGTATTTTATTGAACAGATAAACTGACATATGTAGCTCTAACAGAGTTTTTTGTTAATCATTATCTATTTTATTATTTTTGTTGCAATGTGCTGGAATTTGTTTTCAAGGAAGTACAGTAATGGGTAAACCTACAGTAGCCTACATCTTCAGCGAGTCAGCTTGAAATCATTTTCATCTAAACTGGTTATAGCTCTGGTTATAGGTTATAGCCTAGTGAATGTTTAAAAAAAATTAGTACAATAAAATGCATGCAGGTTTCTCCAATACTGCTGTCATTACCACCATACTGAGCATTTTACAAAGCAATTAAGTTGTCTTATACTGTATATAATAGTGGTATTTTCATAATTTAAAGCTAGCTTTTAAGTCCAAGGTTTCTCTCTAAAAAGTGCTGGTGCTAGTGACTTGATTGTTATTCCATCGTGATAAATGTTTTAAAATTGTACGTTTATACTTATATAAGAACTTTAACATTTTAAAGATGTCCCCTATTACACAGGCTATTACATAAAGTGATGCCAAGCACTAAAAAACAGTGAAGTTACATCGAGAGAAAGACTTGTCTCCGACTTATAAACTGCATTTATTTTCTATCTTGATCAGACACAGAACCGTAGTGATGACTTAAGAGCATCATATCAGCGTGATGAAGTGAAGGCACAGCAGGAATGAACTCCCCTGCTGGCCACTTTACAAACACTTTTAGTCATTTTCTGCGGGATGGGTTATGAAAATAGAGCAACCTTTCAAAATTCATGAGCAAACACAAGCTCCTGGCGTACATCAGTCCAAAAGCAATGTTGAGGTTTTGCACTTTCTTTGTAACTATATTTTTGCCAAGAAAATTATTTCAGTGAAAATTGAAAATGTAAATAAAAAGCTTTTCAGTTACCAAAAAATATGAATTACTTATTACTATGCATCATAACCTGAGATAGTTCACTTTAAAAAAAAAAACACTTTTGCTGATAATTTACTCACCCCCATGCCATCCAAAATATCCATGTCATTCTTTTTTCAGTCGAAAAGAAATTAAGGTTTTTGATGAAAACTTTACAGGATTTTTCTCCATATAATGAACTTTAATGGGAACCAAACGGTTCAAGGTCCAAAAGACAGTTTTAGTGCAAACTGTTCAAAGGAACGATTCCAGACGATGAATAAGGTTCTTATCAAGCGAAACGATCGCTCATTTAAAAAATAATAATAACAAAGTTTAAGTTTAATAAGCCCAAATGGTCACCTTGCTCTGTTCTGTGATGCGCGTTCGTGACTCTCCTGTTCGAACTCGTTTATCAAAATGAACGAATCTTTTCCCGAGTCAACGGGAAATATTCGTTCATATTTATAAACGAGTTCGAACAGGAGAGTCACGAGCACGCATCACAAAACAGCAAGGCGACCATTTGAGCCTATAAAACTTAAATTTTGTTAATTATTTTTTAAATTAGCGATCGTTTCGCTTGATAAGACCCTTATTCATCGTCTGAAATGGTTTAAAGCCCTTTCAACTGTCTTTTGGACTGTCAATAAACGTACTGAACAGCTATAATCATTTCAGAAAAATATAAACTGCAGTCTCTGTTTTAATGGGCCTAAACGGTGACACACTTCCTCTTTTGTGAAAAAACAGATAGGCCTAATGGTTTCTTGCCAGGGAGTTTTTTAAAAACCTTATCTTAGTTAAACTCTTACTTTCCGTAAAAGGATGGGTCCAGTTCTTCCAAGGAAAATGTTCCTGGAATTCTCCCCTTTAAAAAACTAAACACCAGGATGATAAATCATACATCATTAGGCTAATGTCTACTAAAAAGCACACTGAATATTCCAGAGTAGTGGTCAAACGATTTCTCAGTTTGCGGCCCTCCTTCCCAATCCTGATTATGTGGTAAAAGAGTTGAACAAGTTCGTACATCTTTGAATAGCAGTTTGTCAAATTAAGGTCAAGTTAACACAGAATTTTCTGATTTATACTGCAGCAAGTGTGGGCTTGTGCTAACAATGTATACAAGATTAGGTGACAAGATAAATTGTAGCTCCAACGTTATTGTCCGTGGATCTATACAGTATGCTGTCACGAATGTGTGATTCAGATCATCGATACGCATCCATGCTGTTCAACCAACTTTCTCAGTTCTAAACTCAAATAGTTCTAGGGAATTGTTTATAATAAAAAGAAGTAGAAAAAGACCACCTGGCCTGCATCATTATCCATTACCAGAGCTTGAATCAGGTGTTACTTGATATGCTAGTGCACAAAATAGATGTGAGATTAGGTTCACTGTATAATGATTGAAAACAAAGCACAAAGCCCCATTTAATTCCACATTGAATTGTAGACGTGAAGATGTGTCCCCGTGTTATGCACCAACTAGATTACTATCAGAAATTAAACAATTCAGTCATCATTATTGAAATCAGTCAAAATGATCATTTCAATATACTCTAGGCTATATTATGTTCTTGAAGAGGATAAGCTTAAAATGTTATACTAAATATCATCTTTTAAATATGTGTATCAGCACTTTAACTTACCTTAAAAGACCAATGGGAGTATGGAACTGTTTGTTACAGTTTGCAAACTATATCCTAAAATATATTAAGATTGATTTAGATTAAGAAGGCATAGTGGAATTTATTAACATTGTATAATTTGAATCATATATTAGATGATTTCTAACAAAAGACACAAAGGTGGCATCAAGAGGCAGATTATACTGTGGTGTCTCCAGGGCGGTGCAGCACTGCCACCTAGTGTTGATACAGCGAAACTGCATTGAATTAAAAATTAGAAAGTGTTTTGTTTTTTGTTACATAAATCTAATTAGTTACAAAAGCTATAACTAAACCATATCATATGATGATTCCTGTCTAGTGGGACCTAAAAAATGCACCAAATAATTATTGTGGATAATCTGTGAAACATAGCCTACTATTCAGATCTATTTTACCATCTTTTTTTCTCTTGCTATGACTCAATATGTGCCAACATCGTCAGATTAAAAGAATTCATTTGAGAGGTGAATAACATGCACAAATGAATGCACTTTAATATAGGCGTATTCCGAATAATGCATTAAGATGATCCAGTACAGGTTATTTGCCAGATGTCTTATATGACAGTAGCGGCACCTGGGTTTTAGCTCTATAAATTATGATCAACATTTTGTAAGCTTTATTTAAAATATAGAAAATAAATTTTAATCCCACATCAGACATACTTTTGGCAGAATTATATGTCCTTGCGTTATTCAGCCTGAGGGTGGCGCTCTAATGATGATTAACATACTTTAAGTAGGCTACATTCAACAAAGACTTGCCTAGGCTATTTATTGCCTCCGAGTGTAGTTTTATAATATTGCAAGTTTGTGTAGAAATGCCAACAAACACAACAGAACTAGCTACTGTAGGCCTCGAGGCATAATTAAAGGCTATTCACTACGCACTTTTAAACTGAAGGATTTGCACTTTCAATAATTTGATATAGGCAACTACTCCACAGCATGGGAAAAACGGACATGTCCACTTGCATAGCTGAAGCGGACTTGTGTGTGTATATGTTTGTGTGTCGTCGGTAGATGTCAGTGTATGATTTAATATGGCATGCAGAGCCAAATGCCATCCAGCTCCACCTCTCTGGACGTCATGGGTTGAGTTAGTTTGACAGTCCAACTTGGAGGATAAAGATCCGCTGCTTTTCACTGATTCGTAAATAATGCAAATAATTTAATAATAATAAAAATAATAATAATTATTATTATTATTAAATTAATAAATTAATGTTTTTAGAATAGATTAAGTTAAATTTAAGATTTTGGCTTTTTATTTATATTAGGCCTATATTACATTTTATTAATTTTGTGCTAGTTTGATCAACAGAACTGCACGAGTTAAGCTACATGTGATTAAAGAGCTCATCCTCGATTTAACATCTTTAATCCACATGGGTTCACTGTTCTCGTATGATAAAACTCAGGTGAGATACGTTGACTGCCCCGCCTCCTCAAGTCAGGTAATGAAAACACATCTTTACATAACACTTGTTGAATGAGGACTAGTAGCAGCCCATTACTCGACCATTTTACGTTTGTTATCATAGCGCTCTAAACGCGTGACACGTTCTAGTCTAAACGGACAACAGGATGGTGAGCAGTCAGGTAGAGGCCACCGGGCGAGATATGTTGACAAAAGACACCGAACACCGCGACTATTCCTACGACGGGTCGTCTCTGCCGGCAGAATCGCCTTCAAATGGAAGGGGGTTGAAACTACGGACTCAGAAACCGTCAGAGGACGGTAACGTCAAGCAGAGCTGCCAAACAGGTGGGTACAAAATATCTCCTGAGCAATGTCCATGTGAAGATTAATCATTGTGACCCTACTGGGTTTAAGTCTATCCAACCTAAGCTGGTGTGCTCTGATGGTTTCAGATGGTTTAATAAGGACTTATGGCCTAGTTTTTAGCAGCTAAAACCATCAAAACTGTCTTAGATTGGTTTAAGATGTCACATTCATTTTAGGTCTATATAATAAATCTTTTTTTTTTAATGTATATAAGATATTATCCCAAACTCTATTATAACTATTTATGTTATATACATTTTTCCTATAGCCTATACAGTTAACATGATCATAAATATTAGTTCCTGGCTGAATTTTGAAATGGGTTTGTTTGCTGTTAGATCACATTTGGGGTCCCGTTCCATAATTAAATATAGCCTATATTTTCAGACATAAAGCCCACTGCTTCTCTAATTGCCCTGTATTCCTTTAGGCTCGAAAAAACACAAGTCCACATCTGAAAAGAAATACCTCGGAGTTAGAGTGAAAATGCCAGTACGGGACATTCTCCGAAATATTCGTATTGCCAAGGGCATTGACAATAAAGATCTGCAGGTATGATTTTGTTTCTGGTGATGTTTCTTCTACTATTTATTTATAATCACATTAAGGCATGTTGATCATGATCTGACTGTATTTTTTTAGGGAATCAAATCTAAGGCATCTAAAGGTAAGGTTGAAATATGGAAATGTTTGCATGATCATTTTAACCTCATTACGTTTCTAATTAAAAATGTCTTTTGTACAAAGGGGAAAAGAAACGAGTTACCATCGGTGGAAACCGGAGACGTTTTCTGGTGAGTGACGTGTGCAAAATTGTAGCTCCATTTCTTTATATATATTTTTTGGAGATGTCTTTGGACCAGTTACCTGGTACATAGGCTGGTTGTGAGAATTTTTTTTTTGTCTGCTATAGAAGAAACATCAAACAAAGGGTCTGGAAGAGCTTGCTATTATAGTAGAAGTGTTGGAGGAGGATCTTAAGACCTGTCAGCCATACAGATCACCAAACAAACCCCATTCAGCTTCATCCTCTTCAGAGTTCTGGGTTGAAGAAGCATACGGAAGCAACACATACGGTCAGGAGAATGAAATCCCTCAATCTCCAAGCTACTCTGTACCCTCTGAAACCTCGCCTGTCCATTCTGCGTGCAGCCCTTACCCGTCCCCATCTTACAGCCAGGGTACCGATGTCTTCTTTGAGAATCATGAAGAATATAGCAGTTATGAGTCAGATGAGTACAGGTATGATGATCTATATGGTATGAGCTGCTCTGCTGCAAACTCATGCGAATACCAAGTGCCTTCCCCACAAGAATCATTCCATGCAAGTCCCACCCCAGAAGTCTGGGAGTTCTCTCCAGAAAAGATGAAGTGTCCACCATGGCCACAATCTCAACAGGAGGAGTGCAGCAGTATGACCTTCTTCTGTACTCAAATGGAAAGAGAGGAGAATCTGCTGAAGGAGATATCTGACCAAGAGCTTCTTGCTGCAGACGAAAACGGAAGGATGTAAGATCATTTTACTTTTCAAAAACTCACTGAGGCCATTGCAGATGGTTTCTTCATGCAGATTCTAATGGGTAATCTTTCAAAGTACGGCTGTAATTTATACGAAATGAAGAAAATAGCACAGTTTCTGAAAATAATCTTCAAGTAGTAAGAATTGCAAGGGTACTTTTGTAGTGCCACCTTTATCATTTGAAACTTTTTATGAAAGAACGAAATTGGGTCACCCGTCGTCGTTGTCACGTTCAATAAGTGGCTGCATTAGTTTTCTGCTCACAGCTTTATGACAAACCCCATTATTAACTCCTCAAGCAGGGCAGAATAAAAGAGATTAATGGCTCGCATAGGAACCCGGTTGAAATTCGAAGCAACAAAAATGGCACATAGGGTCTTCAAACAAGCCCTCTCGCACACAGAATCAATTGGAACAATGGTAATTGATATGACCGTACACACAAACCTGACAAACATCCTGAAAGACCACACCAGTTGAAATGACAACTATGTCAGACTCATTTAAAGGTGACGTTGGTTTACCTTTCCGTGGAATAGGCCAATAGAACTCCACCCATTGAACACAGCCATTTACAATTAGTAATGGCTTTTCCCTGACACTGAAAAGCGAACAGATCTTACAATAGAAAGTGACTGGTTTCTTGCTCTCTTCACAGTCTTTTACACAGAGTTGTTGAGGAGGGAAAGAGATCCCTTGTGTATGTTATTGCCAGAAGGATGATGGCTCTGAAGAAACTAGATATCAAAGATTCAGAGGGAAAGGTGACAAACAATCATACATGCATATTCTATGAGTGTCAGTCGCTCAGCAAACACGCATAAATGTTGCATGGGCCTGTTTTTCTTTCTAGACTCCTCTTCATCTTGCTGCACAGAAGAATCAACACTTCATGGTGGCTGATTTGGTGTCACTCGGTGCAAATATCAATGCGAAGGACCGATATGGGAAGACATGTCTCCATCTCAGTGCAGAGAATGGATATATTCGAGTGTTGGAGGTAAATTTATGTGGTGCTGGAATATTAGCTTACAGATCATGCCACTTCTACACATTCACTCACACTGTAAATGTTTTGTTTTTTTTGACAGGTCCTGAAAGGTTTAATGAGAATTGGCGTGAATGTTAATTTGGAGGAAAGAGATGCAAACGGTATGTTCAGTTTCATTTATATGCTAATAATATAATTGTGCGTTAGGGGACCAGTTATTATGTCCCCATTCATTTGCATAAAAGTCATCCAGATGATTCATTTTACAAATCTTTTATGAGTTTTTTTCCACAGTAAGGCTGTGACTTCAACTTTAGAAAGAATCTTGTAGAACTAGTCACAAACTTTGTTGTTTCAAAATGCCATTGTGTAAGAGCTGCCTCAGTTTTGTAATCAAAATTTACATCACTAAAGAAAGACTTTGAAGTGATGGGGTTCATTGGTTAAAGCTGAAGGTTTATTGGCATTGTACAAAAAAGCTGAAGGTTTGTTGGCATTGGTTTGTGCAAATGTAAAATGTACCAGCTATAAATATTTCTTAAATTGCACAGACATACAGTACATGTTGGGCCACTCTGTCATTCAAAGAAATTAAGAACGCATGCAAAAACAAGTAAGAAACAACTAAATTTTTTTTTTTTTTGAACTGATTATGTTGTTGTTGAAGCAAAGTCCAGTCTTTACTTTAGTCTCCTGTGAGTTTTTTTGTTTTGCTTATGCATTTAAAAAAAAGCGTGTTTTTTCCCCGATAATTTTGTCAGATAAATATCTTAACTGAGTTTATTGTTTTGTTCTTTCCTCATATTTAACACACACACACGCGCACACACATATATATATATATATATACACCATTAAAATTTGAGGAAAATTTTATATATATATATATATATACACATATACACACACACACACACACACACACACTACCTATACACATATATGCTGTATGCAATATAACATATTTTCCTCATATTTTAATGGTTTCATCAATCTTTTAGGGTCATTAAAAACAATATCCCCTCCAGAAAGCAGAAATAATATGGGTCAATGACACTTTTTGTCTATTAATTCATCCAGAAATACATGAAACCTTATCATGTAGATTTGCATAGTCTTTCAATATTATTCCCTTGAAAATAAATATATAAACGATGTATGGAAGCTTGTTTCCGCCACTGAATGAAAAATATAAAAGGTAATTGCGACTTTTTATCTCACAATTCTGACTTTTTTTCTCACAATTGTGAGTTTACATCTCGCAATTTTGACTTTGTAACACATAATTGCGAGTTTATATGTCGAAATTCTGACATCTTTTCTCACTTTTTATCTCGCAATTCTGACTTTATAACACACAATCCTGACTTTATGACTTTATATCACGCAATTCTGAGAAATAAAGTCAGAATTGTGAGATATAAACTCGCAATTGTGAGAAAAAAAGGCAGAATTGTGAGAAAAAAATCAGAATTGTGAGATAAAAAGTCACAATTATTTATTATATTTTTTTATTCAGTGGCGGAAACAAGCTTCCATAACGATGTGTGAGCAATTTAATTATTAATTGAATTATTTGAATGACAAGGCAAGGCTAGTTCAGGTTGTAAAAAGCCATATCATGCATATTACATAGTCACTTCAGTAGAGCCTGAAAAAAAAAAAATGCAACGGCTTGTTCTTGCAGTTTACATGATTTAACATGTTGTAAGTCTTGATAAAGTTACCAGACAAATTATGATCTCTTTGGATCCTGGCCATGAGCTTTCACACATTGAAGTTGTTTTGGATCAAATCGTTTGCTAAACGGCTAATTGGATTTGGAAGTGTATATCTATGTGAAGAGAACAGGGATTTATGGATGGTATTTTGTTTGCAGGGCTCAGTGCTTTGCAATGCGCAGCAGTAGCTCTTAACCACACTGTGCGGGAACTAGAGCTGTACGAGTCTGCGGGCCATCTTAGACTGCACACTCTTCGCAAGGAGCAGATGATGGAAACGCTCGAGTGCCTCCTTCAAATGGAGTGCTTTATACATGCTCCGGTGAGAATGAGAGACGTACATGAACCTGCCCCAACATAATTCATTTGTTTAGGAGTTTCATTAGTTTTTTTGTTTTTTTTTCCAAATAGGAACATGGTCGCCTCAATACGATGAACAGTGTTGATTTCAAGCCGTGTGAAGAAGCAGCCTTCTTTGTCAATTGAAATCAAGGTGAGAGGGATGCCTAATATTAGATGACTTATGTGCATACCTGCGAATAAATCTGACATGTTTTGTTGACAGCACAAATTCTTAAACCATGTGGTTATTGAAATGTTTTTCTTGTTTTTCAGGCCATCAACAACGTGATTTCGAAGTGGTCTGGCTCATTTGCAGCTTCTTCTAGCAAGAGTTGTTTTCTCTGCCTGGCCACGCAGTACTGTTAACTGACGGTAAATGTTTTTGAGTGAATACAAGCTTTAACCTGCCAATGAAGACAATTATGTACATGTATATACACACATATTTTCGTTATCAGTTACTTTTTTTTTTCTGTGGATAATGAGAAAAGTCTTCATGGCAAGGTTAAGCTATGTATTATGCAACCATAGGTTTTGTTAAGTGCTCAGGGGAAAAGTGAGGTGTATCACTATGCAAAAACACAATGGTTGCCCATTAGCTGGTTTCTATGAAACTTCCACTGTTAGTTACGTTTGAGTAGCAAAATGTTAAAAAAAAAGAAAATGTGGAAAGACCTATGAGTCTTTTGTCGAATGCCACAATTCCTATTCACTCCAAGAGTAAATAGTTGTGATTATTGAGGAGACTGTCATGATTACATATACTGGCGTACAATAGCAAAATGCAGAGGCTGTGCCAACAATGGAACTGATTTTTTTATTATTATTGAATTTTTTTGCTTTTGCACACCAATATATGTTGATGTTTCCTAATAGCATTTACAACAATATATACACATATTGCTAGGTTTTATTCTCCATTATGCAAAGTTGTTAGTGAATTTTGATGCACACAATTGTTCAATAAGAAAAGTCAGAGAAAATATGATGCATCAACAAGGATGCTTTAAATTGATCAAAAGTGACGGTAAAAACTTTTGGAATGTTACAAAAGATTTTTATTTCAAATAAATTCTGCTCTTTAATTATCAAAGATTCCTGAAATAAATAGCAGTTTCAGGAAAAAATATTAAGCAGCACAACATAAATATTAATACAATAGTCAGCATTTGAAGAGGATCAATTTCAAAAGAGGAAAAAAGTTATACATACATTTTTAACAATACCTGTTCTTGTCTTAGGACATTTTTGTACTTTTTTTTTATCCTCTACAAATGTTGACTACTGTAGTTTCTTGAGCAGCAAATCAGCATATTGGAATGATTTCTGAAAGATCATGAGTATTCATGCTGAAAATTCAGCTTTGTCATATTAAATAGTAAATATATAAACATTCTAGTAATTTCACAATATTACAGTTTTTTTTGATCAAATAAATACTGCCTCTGTGAGCATAAGACTTTTTTCAAAAATATTAAAATAACTGGATTATTGGAATTACAAGGTAAATGTTAGTATTTGAGGTGAGAAGTTTTAAAATATTCCTAATTTGACAAAAGATTGCTCTTGTGTAAGCAAAAGCTGTCCATTTTTCAGTGTTGTATTTTGTATTAATGATCCTAAAGGGATAGTTCACCCCCACCCCCCCACCCCCACCCCCCTCATTTACTCACCCTAAACTATCGGAATCTTTTTCCGAAGCTATATGAGTGTCTTTCTTATATTGAACATGTTTTGAAGAATGTTGGTAACCAGACTGTTGTTGGACCCCATTGGCTTCCATATTTGATGGTACCCATTTACTTCTATAGTAGAAAAAAAAAAGGAAGCCAATGGGGTCTAACATATCTGGTTAACAACATTCTTCAAAATATCTTCATTTTAGTTCAAAAGAAGAAAGAAACTCGTACAGTTTTTGAAGAGTAAATGATCACAATTTTTTTTTCATTTTTAGGTGAACTATCGCTTCTTTCTGATAGAATGAAAGTTATTTGTTTTAGGGCATTGGGTACTATAAGGTGTTTTCAACAACATTATATTTAGCATATTTTTGTAATAGGTAACAGTTATATTTAGTAAATCTCTAACTGTTTTACATTATTAAACCTGCGCCATGTAACACAGTTAGTGTTACATGGGCACATAGAGGGTGATTCATATCTTGCATAACAAAAATATTTTTGGGTGCTGTATGTATGACATATTTACGGCTTTGTTTATGCTCTTGTAAAGTGTACCAATTTTTTTTATTTTTTATAAATGAATATGGTTTTATGTTGTTTCCTTGTAAATGACCTGTCAAGTGCTGCAGATAAAGTATGAGATCACAAAGGCTATACGTTTACATGCATAATTGTGATTTATTGCTCAATGTGGCCAATGTAATATCAATGTAACTTCCCTAAGCTCTTCCCCACTGCCATTTTAAAGTACATTTAACTTTAAGGAAGTTTTTTAGCTAGGGAAGAGCATAAAAAATTGGACTTAAACGCAGACCTGGAGTGATCAAAGAACTCTTTGGAGTGACTCCCGTCCGCTCATATCGTAACGAATGTCAAGTGACACGAATCTAGAGTGGCACAAATGTGGCATGAAATCTGATTTTTTTTTCTTCTTTTCTTAATGATTGTGTTTGAAAATTGATCATTTGATATCTGATTTCAATTAAAAAATAAATATATATACTGTATATATTAAACGTTCAGACTGAGGTCGCATTGCAAAACATTCGACCCAAATCAGATTCCACTTGGTTTGTGCTGTTCACACTGTTATGAAAAAATAAAAACATATCTGAGTCGCATTTGATTTGGGGCACTTTTGCCTGCAGTCTGGACGTAGGACGTATTATTGGTGTTATTTTTGCATTACTCTGGGAAGGGGCGTTTTCATAAACTTAAACTGAGTTTTTGAACTCTCATCAGTCTTATCCTGTCCAGGTCTGTGCCCGAGGCATTATGGGGCAGGTTTGTACAGATGAGATACCAGTGTAATTATCTTGTTGCTTTGTTGTTTTCATCTTGACCCTGTTAGAGAGAGGGGGAGGGGGGAGAGCATATTATACTTATTGCTGTAAGACATAGTCACAGTTACATATACATGCTGATGCTGTTTGAAAAAAAAAATAAACCAGTTATATTTGACTGCTGCTGTTTTTGTGTTTTTATGCAAGTTTATAGCAGTAACTTATATCTTTCTCCTGAGTTCACAAGAGGCGACTGTTCTGAATTTTTTAATTTAAGCTCACTTGACTGGTTGATATGGATGGACACAGCTGTATCAGAAGAGTTTCGCTAAATTATGACTCTGTTCCTCTCACAAAGCTTTTGTGTGACTTTGATTATGACGTACAGACCACTTTAACAATATTTTTCTGCTTTTGCATGCTTTTGGAGGCCTGAAAGTGGTGTTGTTTTAGTATAGTGTTAAATTTGTTTGTTTAAAGCTTTTATTTTCTTATATTTTCATTAATTTAAGCTTAAGTTTGAATCATTTTTGTACTTTTGTCATTTTTAGATTTTTTTTAAATACCAGTTCGTTGTATTTCATTTTTTGTTTTTACATTTGTTTATTTTAGTTGCCAAGGTAACATTTCTAATTTATTTTGAAGTTTAATGTTTTTATCAAATATTTATATATTTTATTTCATCTTTATATTAATGGAAACTATTTTTTTTTTTTTTTTTTTTTTCTGTTTGAGTTTCACTGAAGATATGAATATGTAAATTTTTGGAATGACATGAGGGTAAATAAATTATGACTTTCTCTTGTCAAATGATAAGAATCATTTTATTTGTGCCAATAGCAGCTTACTGTTGAAGGATGTATGGGGGGGGGGTGACTAAACACATACTGTATGTGAAGCTCTTTGAAGAAGAGGAGTTTCTTCTATCCCTTCAAGCACAGTCAGCTGGAAGGTAAACAGACTGCTGAGTGAAATGCCCTTTGCCTTGAGGGCCACAAGTTAACGCCTCCAAACTTCTCACGCACACTCGTCTCAGCTTGCATTCCCCAGCTCTGTGTCAGAAGTCACATTCTGGAGCTCTGGAAAGGAGGCAGGTGTGATCTGCAAAACACTTACACTTTTACACTTAAACTCAAGAGATTCCAGAAATGAAATGTTGTAAACTTTCTAGAGAATGGTGTGCTTGAAGTTAAACATAAATAATGGAGTGATTATTTAATAGCCCATATTAAAAAATAATCCACCATGTTCTTCTTTCTCTGAAAATATTTACATTTCTCCATTTTTCCCTCTCAGTATTTTAGAAAGAGAGAGAGGAGAGGAGGGGTATTATTCAAAGATAATGGGAAAATATTGTTCAGCTATCTGTATTTGGTTTTGCACATTGCTTGGTTTGCATCTTCAGATTTAAAGCGTGAGTGTCAAAATATCAATCAAAAATGTGTTTGGAATTATTCCTCTCCCTCTCTTTTGTTTGGTTATACCAGAGACTTTTTAACACTTTGCTTCAAACAAGCAAGGGAGGATTGCACCACAATAAGAACTACTAAATAATAATATATTTAGATATGATATCGTTGTGTAGCCAACAGGATGAAATTGCACCATCCATACGTAAAATAATTTAGAAAAGAAAAGAAAAGAAGATAAAGGCCTACAGTAAACTTGTCATATTCATACACACACACACACACACACACGTACACGTGCGCGCGTTTGCGTAGGACCCCGCCTCCCCCTCGTGTCAAAGCGCGTCAATCAAGTTTCGATGATTCGTCATCGATGAAGCGGAACTATCCCTCTGGTCACGAAAAGACAGAAACGTGTGTTCTCTCCTCTCCAAGTTTGATGTCAGCAAAGAACAGTAAAGTTAAGTTGATGTGCGTTTTTCACTAGTCTGTCTATGTAGCCTGTTTGCTAATGGCGGGCACTAGTTCCAGGGCGGTGTTCTGACTTTGTGCCTGACAAAAAAAAAAAAAAAAAAAAGAGAGAGAGAGAGAGAGTGAAATACAACTTTTTTAATTATGTTTGATAAACAATATCAAACAACTGTGTATGTTAATACACTGCAGCTCGGAAAAGATAAACCTATTACAGTCAGAACACCGGCCGCCTCGCGCTTTAACATTCGCGTGCACGAAATGAAACGCGCACTTTCCAGCAAAACATATGTGGGGATCTGTGGCCTACAATATATGACAATTATTATCTAGTAGTTGTCTACTATAGGTTAGTTACAACTCTGCAAAAAAGCAACGTAGGTATACATTGACTATTGTATTGATTTAGTTATAGGCTGTTGCATTTAAAATGTTGTTTGGCTGGGCAATATGTATGCAAATCCCTCAGTAAATAATAACCACCAAGAGTCAAGTAGCTAGGCTACTAGAAAAAGTACATTCTTAATATCAAGAATTCACATTTTAAATAGTAGCCTAGCCTATACAAAATTATTGATATCAAATTTGCATCGTGTAAATGAATAAATGGCTTGGCATAGCATGTCCTCTGTTTACATGATAAAAGCAATTTTAATTTTTGCTTTTATCATGTAAACAGAGGACATGCTATGCCAAGCCATTTATTCATTTACACGATGCAAATTTGATATCAATAATTTTGTATAGGCTAGGCTACTATTTAAAATGTGAATTCTTGACATTAAGAATGTACTTTTTCTAGTAGCCTAACAATGTCTATTACATTTTCGTTAGTAGGCCTACTAGTTTAAGGAGGGAGGATTGTAGGAGCACTGGGGTGTCAAGACTCAAGTGTGACTGTGGTTTACATGGTCATGGGTCAGTAGGAGGGCCCCACAGAATTTTGCTTAGGTCCCCAGGGAGGTCGATCGGCTCTGAAATCCAGATTAGCTTTTGGATGTTATTAGACTAGTGACTTACAATCATGTAATATGAAAAAAAGAAAAAATAAGTTATCTGCTTGATGTTAATGAGATCAGATCAAATTAGGAGCAATTTATGCAGATATCCATGGTAAATGACGGGGTCACATAATTTTCCCTTTAACTATAGCCAATGTTGTTCATAAACAATTGTAGGCTAAAACAGCCCAGATAGCAACAGAGTCCGGGTCAAATCTGGCGCACATTCGGCACTTGCTTCTGAATGCTGTGATCTCTAGACTGAAAATAAACCGGCAAGGTTTCTCTGACTCACCAAACAGAACAGCAACCCCGTTTCCTGCCGTCTAGTTTATTCCTTTGATGCCATCGTGAGGACACATTACACATTACAACCAGCTGCGCGTCTAATGTGCAATAAGCTTATGGTGAACTCATAATTATAATGGGTTAATGTAATAATGAAAAGCTTGTTAAAAGAATACAGCGTTTCAATTTGCTGTCAATTTTCTGCTCTAAAACAAACAAACAACAACAACAAAAAATATTGTATGCACATCAGCCTGAATATTTAAAAATGTAAATAATAATAAATAAAACCAGGCCTATTTAATGAGAATAAAAAACACAATAAATGTCAATAAAGCTAGGTAACACTAATAAAGAGGAAAAGGTGGACTGCCGAATTTATCATCGTACGTTTTTTTAATCCTTTATTCCAAAAGCTTTTCATCTCAAATACATGCTAAAGAAATGTAAATATGTTAGTTGAACAGCTGTAAAATATACGTTTGTATTTTAAAAAGTATAAAATGTTTTGAAAAACATGTTTTTGGTCGTTTCTTGTGTATTTTCATCCATCATTATCAGATATTTGTCCTTTAGTTGCTTGGAAAAAATACTGAAATGTTTTATTTTCAGTGATGTTTATTTGCTGATATACTGTTCTTTTTCTTTGAACATTTATCAGCATACATATTCATTTATATCAGCACGTGTAAACAAGCAAAATAATTATTCATCACAATATTCATCAAAATATCTAAGAATCATTTATTGACATTTTAATCAACCAAAAATAAGAATTACTGCACAATATAATTTGTATTTATTAATCAAGTGTCGGTAGATTCTGAAACACATTAGAACCTGCAGAAATGAATGCATTCAGATTTGCTACGCTTGTCGGTTTTCAGAGGCACAGTATACTACTGTAGTAATGTGCATCTGTTCAAAAATGTTGAAATCATTCAAATTCTTCTGAATTTTAAAGTCCTGTATCAAATGACAGTGATTGTTTTCCGCAAACCTGCATTAAAACAATCTATATCTCATACTGATTAAACATTATTTTTAAAAAAGCACATTTTTAAAGCACTATGTTAATGAGAATAAAACAAATGGGCAAAATAAAAATTTGACATTATTGTCATAATGCACAAAAGCATTCATTTCTTATTTTGGGTCATGCAATAAATTGTAACCCAACATGCTTTTCGATGTATTAGACATGCATTCCATACCTGAGCCAAAAAACAAACAAAAACAGTCATTAATATACTATAAACCTTGGTTTAAAATATATTTTAAAGCAATTTAAATAACATTGCAAACGCATTATTTCTCCTGTATTCTATATATAATTACATGAGATATTTCACAAATAAAAGAGAAATATAAGGAAATACATGAAATTATAAAGCAAAAAAGGGCAGACAACAAAAAATTAGTGACATTTTACATTGCAGTGCTTTGCATTATTACAATATTAGTAAGAATTCCGACCATGTCGCTACATTATTACAATTTCTCATTAGGTTGTGCTGTTGAGTAAGCATGACATTTCATGATAAATAAAGAACGGAGCAAGCCTGTACAGAACATCTTATTTTGTACACTAAAACAATGTAATGTCCCATGTGAAATCTTGATGGGCAGCTTTTCATTAAATATATCGCTGTAAATTCAAATCCCAAGCAATGTCATTAGAATGTATTCAAGGCTATCGTCACAGTGCTTCAGATATTATGCTCTCAGTTCCATGAAACCATGCGGCTTTCGCTTTGGAAAAACAAAACCATGTTAATACATGAGCTCTTGAGGTTCACTAACTATTCGGAGCATAAAAACATGCTGTCAGAGCCTGGTATAAGTGAAATGCTGGTAAGAGACAGAGGTTTAGGCACTGGAATCCTCTTTTAAGCGCTGACTGCGAGCCTTGTAGACTTCAATCAGGAGATCTTTCACATACTGAATCTCTCTCTCTACAGATTCTGCTTTGTCCCGAAGTTCTCTGTTCCGCCCTTCCAAACCATGAAGCTCCTCCTCCAAACAGTCCTGCTCCGCCCTCTTACGCTGACGGTACCTATTGTTTTTATGGCAACATTTGTGGAATAAAATAGCATGGTTCAGCTTTTCTGCTCGTATGATCCACAACAACAAACATGCTTTCTTAATTGACTTCTTTTTGTTAGCTCATGCAATATTCTAGCGCTTTCATTTGACTAACTGGCCAAGGTGACAACTTTATTATTATTTGTCCTCCCCAGATTTAAAAAAAAAAAAAAAATGAAAATGGCTACAGTACCTGTGGGCAGCAGACTTGTTCTGGTCTCTCTTCTTTTGCTTGCGTTCTCCATGGTTTCTCTCCAAAGAACCTACTTTAACATCTGGTTTAAACACACACTGACTTTCCCGTGACCTTTGCAGTGGCTTCTGGACGGGCAACTCCAAAGAGGACTCAACACTGTCACCGGACAGACATTCAAAGCTTTGATCCCCAAGGCATTCATGGTGCAAGTAGTCATTGTTCTGGATATCAACAGCCCCAGTTCTAATCGGCTGATCGATTTCGTTCATGTAGCCGTGATATGGCTCTAAATTGGCAGTGATCTGATGAAAGTAACACTCGGCTACGTCGGATTGTTTATACGGCGGACAGCTCTCGTTCTCGGCGCACTGCAAAATCGGCATGGCGATCCCGTCATGGCCGAGCATCTTCATCCCGTGGCTCTGGCCCTCTCTCCTGTGGTGGGGCTCCAGGGACCCACCGAGATCATAACTTCTCATCATCTCCGCTCGGTAAAACACGTCTTCCGTGAAGCAACTTTTCTCTTCTTCCTTCAACAGTAAAGCACATTCTCGAACCTTCTTTGCGCTGCCGTGGCTCTTTGCGAAGGATTTGTCGACAGAGCACTGGTCAAAAGCCAACTCTGCGTAACCTGAATGAGTCCCTTTGAAAGTCCACGTTTCTTTCTCAAACACCTCCACGTCTTTACATCCGTTCGCTGATATTCTTTGGCTATTGCAGTGTGTCCGAATGTAGCTGTAGGGGCTGGGTCTAGACATTTTCGGTCGGCTCATAGAGCCCCCGCAGAAGCCTCGTAGGTCCAGCTCTCCAGTCCCCAGGGACAGCAGCCTGGGGTTTGTTTCAGGCTGGTTAACATTGTACGAAGCGCAGGGTAACTGATAGTATGACTGCGTGGCCATAGCTTGTAGGCTTTTGTCACACTTTTGCCATTTTTCCAATTTCATAGGTGTCGATTCGTACAGGTAATAATCCTCCAGTTGAGCCAGTTCTTCTTTAAGAAGAGTGGTCATAACCTCCAAGTCAGAGGGCATTTGGACGTCATGCTCCAGAGGTGAGGGTGGGATAGAGGAACCAGGAGAGGATTCTGTGGAAGATGAGTTTGGGTAAGTGTCAAAAGTTTTTGTCATCCAATCTGTTGAGAAAAACAAGCATTATTTCAAAATACAGATGGAATATCTCAGCATATGCATGGTTGGAAATATAACACTGAACTACGCATATCTACATCAGGCAAGTAGCGATAAAAAAAAAAAGATGAAACGATGTGGATCACCAAAATATTTGCTTTACTTACTGTACGCCATTAACACATACGCTGCAGTGCGGTTCCCACCAACAATCGGACAAAATAAAAGTGCCGTACTGCTTACCAATTTAGTCCTCCGTCTGTGCAGGCTCCTCCCTCCGCCTATGATTGGCCTTCGTTAGCCAGTAGGAAAGAGGGAGCTCTTAAGCCGACTGTGCAAATGAGGCGAGTATTCCTGGGAATAATCAATGCCGCCACAATTTCGATTGAAATGGTGAATTGCGTACAACGCATGGGAATCGAACAAATGCCTCATACAGGAAAGAGATGTGAAAAACTGAAACCTGTATAAAAATAAATAGATAAAAAAAACATGTAAAAAGCACTTAATTCAGTTTTCCAAGTGTCAAAAATTTTGAATAAAAACTAACTCAAACATTTCATTTTTTTTCATAGACTATCATGAAAATGATTCATTTAAAAAAATATATTTAAGTTGAATTGACTGAATTGATAAGAAGTGCAATATTTTCTAATAATTTGAATAATAATAATAAAATCTAAACATAATGAAAATGACCTTTAGCTAGAGTTGTAATATGATGCCTCTAGTCAGGATCAGTGCCAAATGTAAAAAAGAAGGCAAAAGTAAGTAAAGTCTTTTAATTAAAATATTCATTTCATAATGATTTTATTTTTCAGTTTAAAATTCAAATGCATGTTTATACTGTAGAAATGAAAACTTAATTTTAAAATATAAAACAGATATTACGATTTATAAATCCACTCAGAAACATCAAAAGTGCCTGAAAATAGAGCCTTACACAATATTGTTCAAAAAGAAGCTAGTGAGCAGTACAGAAAATATGTAATAATAATAATAATAATAATAAGTTAAGCAATTTCTGCATTTTTAAACGCAACTTCAAACAAAGCTGTCACAAATGTCATGAGGAAAACTCATCTCTATAGATTTTTGCGGGTTATTCTCTAGTTCAGAAACTCTGAAAACTAGTTAAAGTGAGATATACACTGTCACAGGAAGTTGTAGCTCATATAAAAGTCTGAATGGAAGTTGACACTTACTCCATCGTGTTGATGTGGTCAGGTCTGAAGAGCTTCTGTGAGCGCAGGAAACCGCAGTGGAGATGCTCACGTTTTCAATTTAGCAGAACATTGTCTCACTCTTCTTCATTTGATGTCGAGACTGATCGGTTACACGATAAATCGTTCAAAAGTTTTGGAGAACAGAGGAGTATCACGTCAAACCAAACAGTAACCGCATCACACGTATTTGTATCCATCCGCCGCCTCGCCCCTCAGCGTAAAGTCCAATTCGAATTCAACGGGACAAGTTCAATCTGAACTTCAGCCTCGAGTCCACAAATTAGTCAGTAGAGCTATGCGATTTCCCTCTTGACCGCGAAGAAAGTGAGCATACGCGTTTTATAGCTGTATTTCCTTCCCAAATGTACAGGGTAAGTAAATCCTGATGATATTTTAGTGGGTCCAGTTGGACAAAACCAGACTGGGTGTATATCTAAGCACAAAATCGAAGCACAGAGAACCTTGTAAAGCACTATTTAACCACATGCGACGAGGAAGGACACTATATTACACTATGGAGATGTAACTCTTGTTGCAGCCCTGTTGCATCAGACCTGCTGGAATGTTGCCCGAGTTGAAACTTTGTTGCCACATTTGTCCTGATGCGTTTATGCTTTGGACATGCATAATGAGGTTTCATCTTGAAGACCATTGTTTGCAAAGGAGAAAAAAAGTCAAGACTTTTGCTGTAAAAACACTCATTAGCTTGTTTTGATTTGCACCACACTTCCATTTCTGTGACCGGGGCTAGTTGTCACACTGAGAAGTTGTCACACAGGCTGTATCTCAGTAACAACAGGATTTTGATTCACTAGTCCAATTACAAGTAGGCTATGTGTTGCTCTAGCTGTGGTTTTGTATGTTGGTTTTGAACATCAAAACAGTCTTAAGATTGAGTTTGTGTGTGGATGAATTCTGCCCTCCAAACTAAAATTATAATATTTTATTTATTCTGTAGGAGTTGCATTCAGACAACTATAAAATAAAGGCAGATTTTAACAGAACTCTTCTTAGGGAAAAATGTGTCTGGTTGGGGCAAGTTGTCACCTTTATTTTAAATCAATAGGCGAAGTATGGTGGGGTCAGTAAGATTTTAGGCTGCATTTTTAAGAAATAAATTAATGTTTATCGAGCAAGGATGCATTAAATTGAATATTTGTAAAGTGATTATTATTTCAAATAAATGCTTTTCATTGATCGTTATTATAGAGTCCTGAAAAAATTATCATGGTGTCCACAAAAATATTAAGAACAAAATTGAGAAGAATTGTTACAGCAGTAAATCAGCATATTAAAATGATTTCTGAAGGATCATGTGACACTGAAGACTGAAGTAATAATGCTGAAAATTCAGCTTTTTCATCATAGGAATAAATTACATTTTGAAATATATTCAAGATAGAAAAAAAAAGAAGTGTAATAATATTTCACAATATGATTTTTGATCAAATATAGGCAGAGTTGAAGAGCATAAGAGGCATCTTGCAAAATTATTACAAAATCTTACTTACCTCAAACTTGGTAGTGTATATTTGTATAGTGGTAGTGTATTTGTTTCCTTTAAAAATGTCTTTCAAGCATTTTGCATTTCATAATTGTTTTACTGCACATTTTATTGAAAATCGTCTTATATATTGCAGGTTTTACTGTAACAACTTGCATCATGTATAATAAACTTTTTTTTCTTGGCTATTACCGGTGGAAAGGTTTTTGCGACTGTGAGGTTTGTGTCTATATAGAAATAAACTCGGCTTAAGAAATATTCACTGTAAAAAGTATCTCTAGCCCCATTCTCCTTAATTCATTTCCACTGTCACAGTTTCCAATAAAGACAAAAATAGATGGTTATGGTATTCTGATGCATTATTATCTGCATTAAATTTAGTTAAACTAATCTTTAACTGGTGAAAGATTTGTAAATTTCTAAAGCATGAATTTTTTAGATCGCATATCTGACATTTCAGTTTTACTCCATTACCTTAAAACTCAGATACGACCTCATGCTTGGATTCATTGCACACTTCTCGCTGTGTGAAACTAATATAACTGACTGAACCTCCTCTTGTCCTGTTGCCAAGTCAAAATGAATACTGTTCTCTCTGTCTGCTTTTCTCACCCTCTTCAAGGTTTTTAGATCATCTTCAATTTTACAATATTTTTTATTGCAATGGATGATTAATCTGTATCTGTATATGCATATGGATAAAGGTTATTAGTATGTTGAATATGTATTGTAAAATATGCATTATATAATCATGTGTTTTCTGAAGGAGAACGAGGTCATTCTCTGATGCCCACATCTATCAATGACACTCCACTGTAGTGCCTTTCACATTTGTCAGAGGAAAATCTATCTTTTTTTTTTTTTTTTTTTTTTTTAGCAACTTTTCCCATTTCTTATTTTATTTTATTCTTTGTGATTTGTCATCATAACAACATTTGCAGTAAGAATAGCTGTTTTGTGATATCCATCCTTGCTCCGCTGCCATGAAGACTCTGGTACATTGATAAAGGTTACACCATAATTTCATCACCAGCTTGCAAAGAATCCTGCCCCCATTAATGTTTTATGTTCTATCTGGGGTAACATTAGAAATGCACACATGGGTTGTAAGAAATTCTGTTGCTAAGGTGCCAGTTATACTCTTATATCTGTAATTAGTGGAAAATTATGAGAATTTTTCTCTGTTTAAAATAGCGTTTAAATCAAGGCTGAGTAATCAGTCTGTGAGATTTTGAGACCTGAAAGCGCTGTGGGAGTGTGGTCTGTTTTCCATAGGATTTACTGTATTTTGAAGAGTTTGATTTAGAAAATATGGGGTTTAAAATGATAATAGTTTGGTTATTGCTGTTTACAGTGATAACAGACACACACAAATCAAAGATGAATTATTTTATTTCATCAGATCAGACAACTGCCATCACGCTATTTTATTTAGTATGGAAGTCTGACTTTGTACAGACAAAATCTATATACCAAGCCAAATGAGTGGCCAAAAAAATGTCACCAGGTTCATTTTTTATTTTTGTCTTTTAGCTTTATATATAAAGGTAAAACCCCTATTTTTTAAATATTGACCTCTAAATAACACTTGATCCACTTTCATAGTTGCCACTGGAAGGAGCCATTTACAGACATACATTTTTACCCCTCCTTTTGAATTACAAAAGTGTACTCTAAATGTTTATTGTACTAATCTTAATCAATTATGGAGTGTTCTATAATTACTGTAAAACAAGGAAATTCTAGTACATCATGCTCTCAAAAACTCGACTCAGGAGGCATTTTTCCCCCTATATTCATATTCATACTAATTTACAATCATTTACTGTAGGCTACTTATTATTTTATCTGAATTAGAGACATATCAACAGTAACCTAATGCAGCTCATTAGTTAAGTTCAAATGGTAAAAGTTCCCTGTTCCATCTGATTTCTGTACTCAAATAATTTATGTTTTATTTACTTTTTGTTTAATTATATACTGAGTAATATTAATTAACAACATAATTAGGTTAGGGTTTGGTTTAGGGTTATTTATAATTATACATAATATGCTGTTATTAAGTGCATTTAAGTTGTGTATAATGAACACTGATTATGTTTTATTTTTTTTATAACAAAAAGTGCAATACAATAATTTTTAACTTTTGAAAATTTAAAAAGACTACTTTTTGCATTTGACGTGTAAAATGCAAAACAAAAATGCAGCAAAGGTACAGGGATTGCCACTGTTCTTTGACAGTGTTCAGGCATGCAACCTACAAAACAAAGGTGAGGTAAGAGTGTGTTTGACAGCTCTTTGTTGTCACTTTTCAACAGATGACAGCTGACAGGTGCGAGGTCTATATGAAGCTCTGGTTCTCTGAGCTGTACTTGTTTTCCATTATTTGCTGAATCCTTAAGAATCTATTCAGAATGACTTTCCACACCCATTCAGCATTAAGCTGTTAAGCTTAATCAATTAGCTTTCCTTCAAAAACTAGAAGACAAAACAATGTTGTTTGAAATGGATATTGAAGTTCATAAAAAATGTTATTTGCATTTTAAATGTACACATTCACGTTTGACTTTTACAACTGCAGAGAGTGCTCTAGTCCAGTGTTTCCCAACCCTGTTCCTGGCGGCACACCAACACTGTGCGTATATCAGTCTTTGTCAGACACGTTGGTTTGTTGTGTGTGACGTCATCGCGGCGCCATTTTTGAGGTATTGCTAATGTGAGCACTGAAGAGATTACGAGAGTAGAGATAACAAGTAAATAACTCGCAAAACTGCAGAAGCAAAAGAAAACTGAGAAAACGCCTTAATGCAATAAACTCGATAAATATGGCAGGTACCGTTTTTTGGAGAAATTGTCATCCATTCAGAACATAGATCCATATATGAGCTCAGCTGACTGCAGTAAGCTGATCCCGCATTGCTTTCTCATCCTCATATTTGGGCGTTGTCAACTATCTTGTTTATGGTATAAGCGCATATAACGTTCCCAGTGAACAATTTAAAAATTATACATCTCTTAAAGCCCGCGGACATTTCACCAAGTTACTGTATCCTTCGGTACGAATGTAAATAAATTCTGTAAAGTTAGTAACAGCAAAGACAGGTTTGCTGTATTGATGATGATGATAGTGTTATGTTAAGGATGGTTTAGTTTGAAAAAAAAAAATAATGAAAAAAACAATTCTCCAACAACGGAATACCCCAGCATCGATACCTTACAAATGGCGGCTACGCTCCATAATGCACTTCGTTTTTCGCGAGTGTGACGTCACCTGACAAAGACCGAGGCCATTTCTCAAAACCAAGAATGCAAAGACCAGACTTGAGTTCTTGGGAAGAAAGCTCTTGCTATTTGTTCTTGGAAGAACGAACTCACGAGGTGACGAGCACACAGAACGCTGCTGACAGTTTGAGACGATGTGTTCTTGCTGGTATTGCGCAATAGTACCCTCGCACAGACGCCGTCTGCAGTGCCCAAACATAACGAGAATTATTATACAGCCAGGCTTTATCGCCCAAGCCTAAAGCCTAGTTCACACTACGTGATTTTAAGCCCGATTTTTGCAAATCGTTGAGTCGCCGACAAGTCGGTGTTATCGCGTGCAAATCGCGGGCGATTAGCGGATGATTAACGATCGCCAATCCGTTAGTGTGAAAGAGCCAACAACGCACCAAAGACCGCTCGCAGACACCTCGCAGACAGGTCACCGAGCTCAGAAAAATATCTAGCATGCTAGATATCTCGAGCAGTCGCGCCACTCAATCTCAGTGATGTCATGAGTACAGCCAATCATAGCAACGCATGGGTTGAGGACACCAGGTAAATCTTACTTTTTCTTTTCTTTTTTGCATTTTTTTTTCTCAGAGCAGATCGTCGAGCAAACAGTGTGCAGCACTAGTTTCTGTCTGACGTCCATATTCGCGTGTTGTGTTCTTCTCTGCAGTTTCGCGTCATTTCTGGTTCGTTTTATTGCGTGGTTTTTCGTGACAAAACATGGTTTCTAGACCAGATAGAATCGTGTTGTTGTCAACTCGTTATT